CTGAGGCCTGAGCTCCCTTTTGGCTGGGATGGTGAAGGCTTCCTGGGAAGGGTTGTCTCCTTTCCCACTCAGATCTGCTGGCTTGGAAGTGACAGGCTGGACTGTCTCACTAGCATCCCTTTACCAAGGCAGGGTACCAGCTCCCAGCTCTCAAAGGCAACAGCCAATGTGGACAAAACATTTGGCTGGACATTCTCATCAAAACACAGTTTTTAGGCAAGGAGAGAAAGGTTCGCAGCAGGGCCCTGGCCTCCTTTCTCATCATGAGTCATCTCCTCTCCTGTGACAGTGATGCTGTTGGACAAGGAAGAAGTGTGGGGACACAAGGTTGCCTCTCTGTCAAAGGATGCTCTCTCTGTTTTCTTTTTTTTAATTTTTTTAAGATATTTTATTTATTTATTTGAGAGGTAGAGTTACATACAGTGAGAGGAAGGGACAGAGAGAGAGGTCTTCCTTCCATTGGTTCACTCCAAATGGCTGATCTGAAGCCAGGAGCCAGGAGCTTCTTCCTGGTCTCCCATGCAGGTGCAGGGGCCCAAGGACTTGGGCCATCTTCCACTGATTTCCCAGGTTGTAGTAGAGAGCTGGATTGCAAGAGGAGCAGCCGGGACTAGAACCAGCGCCCATATGGGATGCGGGCACCACAGGCGGAGTATTAACCTACTGCACCACGGCACCGGCTCCAGCTCTCTATTTTCTTTATGGTGTTCTGCTAGAGCCAAATTCACAACAGCTAACCCAGGTGAGACAGTAAAATAGGCATGTGTGGCCGTGAAACACTGACTCCTGCAGGCTCTGCTGGAGCCTGTGTGGACAGCTACTTGCTCCCGAACTCTGAGGGAGGGCCCGGCCCAGAAACGGTATGCGTGCAGGACTCCGCGTGTCATCAACATATCACGCTCAGGCTCCCACCGGCCCCACACAAGACACCAAATTCCGCATTACGTAATACAGAGATTAGCTCACTTTGCAGAAAAGAGAGTTTTTGTTCTTAAAACCCATCTTCCACCCCACGTGGTGTGCTGAGAGGGTCTCAGAAGCCAGCCCCTTGGCAAAGGGGTCACAGGGCCGTCTCCCACTTCTATAAAAGGCTGAGCTCAGAGCTAGGATCACAGGACAGGACAGAGGCCCTCTCGCCTTCTGAAATAGTCTCATCTTGCTTCCATCATACCATACTTCTTCCCCCAACATTTTATTATGAAATTTTCAAATATCCAGACAATTTAAAAGAATCATACACCAGCTACCTGTGATACGTATTTTTCAATGATTGCTCTCTCATGTGTGACTTTTGAATTCTTTTCTTTTTTCTTTTTTCTTTATTTATTTAAGAGGCAGAGAGGAAGAGACAACGACAGAGCTGGAGAGACAAGGGGGGCTTCCACCTGCTGTTTCACTTCCCAAATGCTCGTGACAGCCAAGGCTGAGCTGGGCAGCTGAAAGCAGGAGCCAGGAGCCCAGTCCAGGTCTCCCACGTGGGAGGCAGGAACCCTGTTAGTTGAGCCGTCACTGCTGCCTCCCAGCATCCACACCAGCAGAAAGCGGAAGTCAGGAGCAGAAGTGGACAGCAAACAGAGGCACTCTGATTTGGGACAGGGGTATCCGCACCAGCCTCTTAGCCACTAGGCCAAATGTTTGCCCTGAGTCCCTATTGCTTTTCCCAAGGACACCTGCATGGATAACATGTGGCACCAGCAGTCAGGACCATGCGGTCACTCAAGATGCAGTCCAGGCCCTTTCTCAGTCTTCTTTCAGAACAAGAGGGATCCAGACTTCAGTTACAGACCCACATCTCAGCCTCATCCCCCCTACCCTCCAGCTATGGGCTATGTGACCCCGGACATGTCGCTTTGCTGCTCTGAGCCCAAGTTTGCCTTCAATCTATTATGCATGTAAGTGCGAACCCAACTAACCTCCAGTGAACAATTATTAGACGCCAGAAAGTCTTGCACATGACAGCCACCAGCTCTCATCCTCACAGTACCCTCAAGAGGGAGACACCAGCTCCATTGCAGAGTCAGGACAAAAACCCAAGTCAGAGGTTATTTTTTTAGGTGTTTTGAAGAATTTTTAAAATTTATTTATTTATTTGAGAAGCAGAGTTACAGAGAGAAGGAGAGACAGAGAGAGTTCTTCCATCTACTGGTTCACTCACCAAATGGTCACAGTGGTCAGGGCTGAACCACGCCAAAGCCAGGAGCCAGGAGCTTCTTCCAGGTCTCCCACATTGGGTGCAAGGACTTGGGCCATCTTCCACTGATTTTCCAGACCATAGCAGAGAGCTAGATTGGAAGTGGAGCAACTGGGACTTGAACTGACACCCATATAGGATGATAGTGCCACAGGACCTACTACGCGCCACAGTGCTGGCCTCCAAAGATTTTATTCATCATGACTTTTCAACAAAGAATCCAAGGGTTAGTAGTAGTAGTAGTAGTAGTAGTAGCCACATTTTATCAGCGGGTAATCAGCAACCAGAGCTGAGAACAGAACCACTAATAAGCTCGACTCCTTGCCCTGGTACCCAACGTTCCACTCTTCTCACAGGTGAGGCCCTAGCTCCAATAATGGCACCTCGGATCCAGGAGTTTACCTGGAAAGCAATTTTCTGTCTAGCTGGCAAAGACTCTCCTGCAAAGCAGTACTTTCAGTACCTAGAGTTTTTATCCAGACACTGGACAACACAGTTGTGATACAGAAATGGGACATGTTAAAATATCGCCATTAGGCCAGCGCCACGGCTCACTAGGCTAATCCTCCGCCTGCGGCGCCGTCACCCCCGGGGTTCTAGTCCCAGTCAGGGCGGCAGATTCTGTCCCGGTTGCCCCTCTTCCAGTCCAGCTCTCTGCTGTGGCCCGAGAGGGCAGTGGAGGATGGCCCAAGTGCTTGGGCCCTGCACCCCATGGGAGACCAGGAGAAGCACCTGGCTCCTGGCTTCGAATCAGCGCGGTGCGCCGGCCGCAGCATGCCAGCCGTAGTGGCCACTTGGGGGCGAACCAACAGAAAAAGGAAGACCTTTCTCTCTGTCTCTCTCTCTCTCACTGTCTAACGCTGCCTGTCAGAAAAAAAAAATATATATATATATATATATATGTATATATATATATATAACTATTAGGGGCCAGAGCTATGGCATGGCTGGTTCGAGTACCAGCTGCTCCAATTTCGATCCAGCTCTCTGCTATGGCCTGGGAAAGCAGTGGAAAATATCTCAAGTCACTGGGCCACCGAACCCAGGTGGGAGACCCAGAAGAAGCTTCTGGCTCCTGGCTCCTGGCTTCGGATGGGCACAGCTCCGGCCGTTGCGGCCATTCGGGGAGTGAACCAGCAGTTGGAAGACCTTTCTGTCTCTCTCTCTCTCTCTCTCTCTGTGTGTGTGTGTGTCTCTCTATAACTCTACTTTTCAAATAAATAAATAAATCTTTTTTAAAAAGTATCATCATTGTTTACTTCTGTGTCACAGCACACAAACAGAATTCAGATATCCACGCACTTGTTAATGTCTACCTTCCATCGGCTGGATCATCTCTTTTTAAAGAAGTGATGGACATTTTTCAAATCTAAACTCGATCTGTATGCTCCACTGTAAACACAACTATTGACCTTCTGGAAATATTTCAACCTTCATTTGTTTGGCTCAAAGATATTTTCCATGGTGGCTGCCACATACATTTTAAACCCCAGAGACGCTGGAGTTTGTGCCCCATAGACAATTGGCCCTTTTCTGTGTCTAGGTAAGGCATCGGTTTCCCGAGAAGCAAACAGACTTCTCTCTTTCAGCCTAAAAATCTCTGCTTCCAACACTTCTCACATCCAAAGCATATCCAAATTCACACTCACCAGACTTCCCCAGGGAGAAAGGTGGAAGATGTGTTAGGTAAGGCCAAAGAAAGAGGGAACGGCCCCTAACTCCTGATGAAGACCCTCCTTGAGGAAGGGACAGAACTGAAGGCTGGAGACATGACACAGCTTTGTTAATGGCACAGTCCAAGTGGATCTAAAGAGAGAGCCCAGGAGCTCTGAACCCAGGATGCTGCTACTAACCATTAGATCAGTGATGATTCCAGAGACCTGAGAGCTGACATAAATCCAACTACAGAACAAGAGTTTAGGGAAAAATTGAAAGCACCTAACAACAGTGTCTTTCCCATAGGCATGATGTTTCAGACAGGACGATGTCAATGAATCCGATAAATTTTGCATCCAGGATAGAAAAGAAGAGGCACGTCCTAAGGCTTCATCATGAATAGCGGAAAAGATAAGTCAGATTTGAGAGAGTTGGAGCTAGGGTTAGGGAAAGAGATCCCCAGCCCAGGAAAGGGATGAAGATTCACCCACAGAAAGGCTGGCCATTTCAGAAGGAAGTGGACCACCAACCAATCCAATGGTGAAACTCTCCCAGACAGCTACATGCCAGTTCCAGAATGGTGTCTACACAAACAGGACTCTTGCTAGAATCTAAAGAGGAGAAGAGGACAACACCAGGCCCACTATCCAAGGAGGTGGACACTCCCATCGAGGCATCTCATCGCACTAAACCTTCCTTGGGCTGTGGAAGTCCACTGGCCACAGTAGACATGTCATCACAAAGAAACCACTTAGAATGGGCATAAAAAGCCATGTCCCAGGAGATAGGCTGGCAGCATAATGGTATAGACAGCCCTGTGTTCTAGCATACCCACAGAACCATGGGAGCCAAGTGTGCAGCAGGCTGGGCCAGAGTTTCCTACCCCACCTTGGGGGTCTGCCAAATTTCACTGGCTCCCTCCCCAGTGTCAAGCCTTCTTGTGAAATGACTGGTACTTCCTGTTTCCCGTCGCACCCCAGACCCAGACACGCCACCTCTCTCCAGGTATCTGCCCTATGGCTTCATGAAAGGGAGCCAAGGGGCTGCTGAGGACACAGGAGCCCCTGTGCAGTGGAGAATCCAAAGGCCAGGGCCACTTCCTGCCCCGGTTCGTCATCTTCTTCCACCTCTTTCTCCTTCCCACACCCCCTACCATGGCTGGGGCTCCTTGGCCTCGATTCAGCACCGCATTCCTGCTTCTTTGTGTCCCAGTCTCCCAGCTGCAAGGCTGTGGGGACGTTCAGAGAGTTCTAGCTCCAAGAAATGCTCATCTCCATAGAGCTATCTGCCCACCTCCCACCTGGCCTGGGGAGAATGAGCCAACATTCCTTCAGTCCCACAGAGGACGGGTGTGACTCGAATTACTCAATGAAGCCTCTAGGCCTGCATATTATGCCCCCAAAACAATAGAGTTGTATTTTTCTTGGACTTCATTCGTTCTATTTGGTTTCTCCTTTGATTAGCAGAAAGAGCTCCTCTCCCTCCCCTGCTGGTTTTCCTAATCCACCAACCTAGCTCTCCTGTTCTTCGGGTAACCCTTGCAGCCTCCAACTGGAGTGAGCTGAAGCCTTGGATCATGAGCCTGCCGTGACGTCAGTGAGCTTGAGAAACGCCATCGCCTAGGCGCTCTCACACGTGGGAATCGTCTCTTGGGAGTCTACATCCCATCTCGGATCTGTTTGTTTTGGATGCTAATCCCGGGACGCTGGGTGAGGTGTTAGGCAGACTGACCTTTCCTGTTTTCTGAGTCAATGATCTTAGATCACGAAGTCAGGTGCTAAGTGTTGAAAATTAAAATCCATGTGTGGGGCCTGCCAGACAGAGGCAGCCAGGAAGGTGGGAGCAGAGGGGTGTGCGGGGAAGGTGGCGCTTGGCTTTGGTTGACACCAACAAACCACCACGAATCTATCTAACTGCTACCACATACAGGCTCATCGAGAAGGGATCCAGTGTGTTTGGCAGGTGGCTCACATTACAAAGAACTACAAGGACGTGAGGGCCCCTGAGACATTCTCCCTCTCTTAACTCCCAAGGCAGCCTCCGTCCAAGCCCAAGCACCCAAACCTCCTGATGTCCAGGGAACGTCTGGGTGTCTACTTGGCTCCTGGGGTACGTCAGGGTGCAAGGTTATTTAGGGAGGCTCTCACCTGTCACCAGGCAGGGCACTGAGGGACCTGCCGATTCCAGCCGCAATGCCTCGCCCACACAAGCAGGTCTCAGGGAAGGACGATGCTGGGAGTGTCAGGTGTTTGGTTTGGATTGGCTTTTTACATCCAGCCCTTACTGCAGAGGAGGCCAGAATCCCAAGCAGGCCTGAGCCAAGGCAGCCTGCCCGGCCAGAGATGCTCAGACAAGACAACTTCTCATTTTAACACAGAAAATTGGCCGGTTGGAAAATGACATTCTTTTTAAGGTTTGTTTATTTCTTTGAAAGGTGGAGTTATGGAGAGGAAAGAGAGGCAGAGGCAGAGAGAGACAGAATACTTTCATCTACTGGTTCACTCCCCAAATGGCTGCAACAGCCAGGACTGGGCCAAACCAAAGCCAGGAGCTTCTTCTGGGTCCTTCACGTGGGTGCAGGGGCCCAAGCACTTGGCCATCCTCTGCTGCTTTCCCAGGTGCATTAGCAGGGATCAGAAGTAGAGCAGCTGGGACCCCAAACCAACACCTATATGAGATCCTGGCACTACATGCAACAATTTAACCCACTAAGCCACAGTGCAGGCCCCAAAAGTGACATGTTTTACAGACAGCCACACAACGTATTTCCGGGGCCTCAGTGGTCTGAGCATTATGAACTGAAACATCCATGGAGGTTGTATTGCAATAACAAAAATCAGCTTATAGGTCTCACCAAACATCCTGGCCATCTGCTTAGGCACTGCAACATGAGAGCCTGAACCGCCCAATCTCCCAAACCTACAATAACAACATTTTACTCCTATTTGACCAATTCCAGCAGAGTCGAGAATTCCTTTTACTTAAAACACATCAAGGCAAGCAGATGCAATTCTCTGTCACAAGCATACATTTTTTTTAAAAGATTGTATTTATTTACCTGCAGGCACAGTTGCAGACAGAGAGAGGGAGAGACAGAGAGAAAGGTCTCCCATCCACTGGTTCACTCTCCAAATGGCCACAACAGCCAGAGCTAGGCCAATCTGAAGCCAGGAGCTTCTTCCAGGCCTCCCACCTGGGTGCAAGGGCCCAAGCACTTGGCCATTTTCCGCTGCTTTTCCAAGCCATAAGCAGAGAGCTGAACCAGAAGAGGAGCAGCCAGTCTAGGAACCGGCGTGCACACGGGATGCCGGCGCCACAGCAGAAAGCTTAGCCTACTGCGCCACAGCGCCGGCCGACAATCATGCATAAAGCATTTGCTCAGACCAGATAACACGCAAAATAGATTCACTCGTGAAACATCCCACCATGCTCTCCACACCCGTGCTGCCAGAGTTCAGTAACTCACTATTTTTCTCCCTATCTGGTTCTCAAGAAGTTAGAAAAAGAAATAAAAACCCCCAATTTTTTTCCTGTCTGTGAAAGCACACACACATGCTCACACACACACACACACACACACACCTGTATAAAATAATGATTGTCTAGTGAGATTTCCGCATATGTCGCAGATAAAAATACACGAGTCCTGTCTAAATCTATACTCCAAGGATGTACCACTTTTTTTTTTTTAAGTCTCCACCAAAATAAGCAAATGAGAAAAGGAAAACTCAACAACACCCTACAGGAATCCCATCCCGTCCCTACATGGTCGGGTAATTGTTAGCAGAAATGGACTATAATAAGCTATCTTCAAGGAATGCCAATTCAGCCCCATCTTGTGGAAAGAAGACCCAGAATCCGCCTTTGTTCCCAGCTGGGGCGGCTTGGAGACAATAACAATGCCTTCTTTCAGAAAGTGAGGGGAATCTGAAAGGTAGGGCTCCCTGCTCACCCAGATAAGCGCTGGTGGGAGAGGTGGCAGCTGCCCCGAGGGAGGCTGCTATCAGCACGGGGACCAGCCAGCAGCATCCGCCCGGAGCTCAGGCCTCAGACGGGGCAGCAAGGGGAACGTGTCCTGCTTTCCATTACTTTTAAAGGATCTCCACTCCTCAGTGGACTGGGAGCAGCCAAGGCTTCCATCACGGGCAGAAGCCCAGTGCCTTTGGAAACATGTCCTTGGCCATGGGGGATGTTTGCCGTCTGGGGCTGTTCAATGGCGCTGACGCCTTCCAGGAGTCTGAGGTTGAGGGCTTGGGTGAGCTTGATGGTCAGCCTCCCCACCCCTCTTACCTTTTTATTCACAGTTTCCAATACACAAAGCACTTTAGGGTAGCCATGGAAACCCTCACAGCCACAGACTTCGAACACAACTGCGACCAGTGTCAGACGTGGGGGAGGCATCCGAGACCGTCCAGCTATGTGGCACGACCGTGTTGCTCTCTCTTTTTTTTTACTCGGGTCCTAAAGTGGCACCGCCTCGCCAAAGGCCACACGGACCAGGGCTTGGGCTAAGAAAGTGGCGCTGGGGTTGGCAGACTGGAATAGTCCCACTGCACAGAGCCGGGGCCCGAAAACGAAGATGCACCCCTTCTAAGACGGCCCTGTCGTTGAACGGCTGCACTGGACTTTCCCAGAGGCAAGAGTCCTTGTTCTGATCCCCCAGCCTCCCTAAGAGGGATCTGCGCTAGGTTATCAAGCGTGCAAGTGAACTAACTGATCTGTGTCCTTCCTTTTTTAACTTTTTAGTATCATTTTACATTTTTGTTTATTTATTTGAGAGGCATAGAGAGAAAGAGTTCCCATCTACTAGTTCACTCTCCCAAATGACCAGGACAGTTGGGGTTGGGCCGGGGCCAAAGCCAGGAGCCAGGAACACATGGGTGGGAGGAGCCCAATCACCTGAGCCATCGCTGTTCTGCATGACAGGAAGCTAGAGCCCGGCGTCGGAGGTGGGCATGGAGTCTAGCTCCTGCAATATGGCGACCAGGGGGTCTTAACTGCCAAGCTGAATGCCCCCACCTGTTGTCCTTTCCTTGAAGTCCTCCGTCTCCATGGGGAGCAGCTCCAGAAACTTTGCAGACCCAGAGATCCACAGACGCCCAAGCCCCTTAAGAAAATAGTGTAGTATTTCACCTACACACACCTTCCTGAATGCATTGTCATCTGTATTCTTTGATTTATTTATTTATTTGAAAGAGAGAGTCGGGGGTAGAGAGATAGAGATAGATTAGAGATAGAGGTAGCAAGAGAGAGAGAGATCTTCCATCCTCTGATTCACACCCTAGATGGCCACGATGGTCCAGGACCAATCCAGGACAACGCTAAGAGCCTGGAGTTCCATCCAGGTCTCCCATATGGGTCACAGTTTCCCAACTACTTGGGCCATCTCCCGCTGCTTTCCCACGTACATTAGCAAGGAGCTGGATTGGAAGTGGAGCAGCCAGGACTCTAGCTGGTGCTCCATTATGGGAAGAGGGCATTGTAGGTGACAGCTTAACTCACTGCACCACAATGCCAGCCCCTAAATCACCTTTAGATCATTGATGACAGTTAATTCAATGTGCATGCTACACTAATAGTTGTTATATACTACATTGTTCAGAGGATAAACTGTATTGTCTAAGACAAATGCACTTTTGTCCAAATAGTTTCCATCTTTGGTTGGTTGTCTTCAGAATCAGGAAGGTCAAAGCCACTCGGAAGACAAAGTCCTTAGTAACTGTCCTCACCCTATGGCTTGCACTTCCCAACCAACTACAGAAGTAATTGCCAGAAATGGAAAGTCTGAGCCCAGCTGAGCCCTGAGCTGGCTCTTCTGTGCAGCAAACAGCTTGACAAAATGACACCAAAATGATCAGGGGAGGCTTCCTTCTGTCCCCCTGGTCTCGGCCAGGTCTCAACACCCTGGTGCTCTGCAGCTGTCTCTTGTCTTAAACCAGGCCGGCAAACCCTCCTCCCATTCACTATGGTGACCGAGCTGTAACCACCATTACTTGCTACGCAACTGAAATGTGTCCTCCTTCAAAGCTGGTTTGAGCCAGAGGATTCTAAGCTGGATTTCCATGCCCCCCCCAAAAAAAAAAAGAATGTGGCATGGTCTTTCAGGATTGGGGGCAATTGGGAGGTCTGGGCGGTTGGGAAGAAGGAAGCGCAGAGACCACACGAAACGATCCAGAGGCCACTGCAGCCACAGCTCATGCAAAACGCAAAGCAGCCACCACGATTTAGAAACTCTGCGGTCCCTCCCGCCTCCCCAGCCTTTCTCCTCCACTGTCATCCCTACATGCGAATTAACACTACGGAAACCAGGCAAGACGAACAAGAAGCCAGGCCACGGGCAAATACCGTTCCCTCCCGTGCAGGCTAGAGACGACGGCAACACAGTCCATCTGGTTTTGGTGGGAAATTGAGTTCTTTGCCCGTAAGCACCGAAGCCTTGGTAGCTACTGCTCTCTTGCTTCGATCTTGTTGTTCATGGTACTTTTCTCTCCCTTAACACCTAGAAAGGTGAGATTTGTGAAACAAATTCACCACTCTAACACTGTTTTCCCATGTGTAAAATGAGGCAAAAAATAACTCCCATGAAAGGTTTTTCTGGGGGCATGACGGGGGGACACAAGTGATCCATCCAAGCAAAGCCCTTACCAGACTGCCAACACACATGTCCTCGGCAAACACTGCCTCTCATTAATAAATGCCCTGCACAGCTGAAAAGGATCGGGTTGATAACAGAGGCCCCTGCACGTCCCAAATGGCGAGGACCCGGCCAGCTTTAAGGGGGTGGTGGCATCCTACTTCGGCTTTGCAGGGTGAAATAATTCCATAAATCTGAACAAGCCCAGCTCAAGATACGAAAAGGCTACCATCTAACACAAGGAGCAAAGAAACCCCAACACACACCACGGTACAATTAAGCAGGACCGTGGCTCCGAAACAAAAATGAACCCATGGGCCATTCCTGCAGAGCCGGAGAGGTTCCCACAAAAAGGAAACGGGAAGAATAGAGGGCCCGTACAATGTGCACGGTTCAAGTCACACTTTGTTCTCTTCTCTTCCGAGACAAAGGCAGCCAAACTCTGATTAGGGCAGAAGGGAGGAGACGCTTCACAAAAGAGGGGAGTCCCCCCAACTCCCTGCACACGGCCCAGAACAAGAGCCAGGGCCTGCACGAGAACAATCGGAATGCGGAGGCGTGGGGCCGTTGGATGCGCTGGCCTCTGTTGTCACAGCTGCGTGTGGAATTCCACGTGTGCATGGTGGACGGGGCTGGCAGGCGCGGCCCCCAGGACGCGGGCTCCCGAGATCTGCCTCCCCCATTAACTGCGTGACCTTGAGCCCGCGCCGCACTCTTTTCAGGCTTCTGTTTCTTTCCGTGAGCAGCAAGGAGGGTGATTTCCTTCCCCTGCGCGGCCTCCAAGAGCTATCCAGGGAACAGAGTTGATGAGTAGACGCAAGGAACAGTCATTAGCAAGGAATGATTGTTTTCAGCAACAGATGGCAAGGCATGGAGCAGAGGAGTATGTGGGCTTTAGGGTGACGTGTGTGTGTGTGTGTGTGCACACGCGTGCATGCATGCGTGTGAGAATGACAGGGAGGTGGGGACAGGTGGATGTTCCTAGGACTCCTCTGTATGACCAAGTGACTCTGTGCTGTGTGCATGGGTGGCCACTGGCGGGAGAGAGAACTGTATAGATCCATGGGAAGTCCAGGCACAGGCTGGCTTTGGAAGGAGAGGGACACAGGCCATGACACAGACAAAGCAAGGAGAACCCAGGCTCTGAGCAGACGGTGGCCAGGTCTGGCCAGCTGGTTGCGTTTCCCACACGGGCTGACTGCCCCCACCCCGGGACTGGAAGGGAACCCAGATTCCTGATCCCTGCCCTGCATGCACCACTCCACGCAGCTCAGCCCCGGGTTTTACCCAGAAGCAGCAAAGCGCTGTGGCACGTCTGACATTTAATAAGGAAATAAATACCTCTTGGAACGAGCTCCGCCCAGTGCACCCCACCCCCAAGCCAAGGCAGGGCTCTGTCCTGAAGGGGGCGTTTCTCCCTTCCTCCTCCTCCTCTGCCTCAGCCTGCTTCTTCCAGAGAAAGCACAGTTTGGCCTAGGGGCAGGGGCCAAGCTGGGTGATTTTGTTTGGGGAGCTGTGTCAGGGTGGTGGTCCCCAAAGTTGCGGGCACCACACCTCCACGGACGTTCATTTCCCTCCCACTGTCCCTTTAAAGCCCACCCCCACCCTCTTCCGGGAGGAGGGGTAGGGGAGGGACATCCCCAGGGCCATCTGGGAGTGATTAGCCTGCAGATTTCAGGTAGCTCCAGCCTCACGTGCAGCCCACATGACGCTGGCTAAGTCCTTGCCCACAGCTCCCCTTCTCCAAACAAACTGCAGTGCAGAGGGGAGAGACACCTCCCCGCCTCCCAGGAGGAGCTGCAGCCAGAGGCCGAGAGGCCGGGTCACCATTGTCTCCTGGGCACCGGCGGCAGCCATCTCCGCCCACCATTCACTCAGCAGTCGGCCACAGCAAAGGGCTCATCTGGGAAAGGACTGTGTCCTGTGCTTAGAAAAGCAAGCAAGAAAACCAGGAAGAGCAAAATATTTATTATCGTTGTATATTTGGGTAGCAAGGTCTGGGGTGGGGTGGGGTGTTTAAAGGTTCTGATATGTTAATAATGATTTCACTTTGTGGCTGGATTGTTTTCTCAAAACCTGTAAATCCAGGCCAGAAATGTGTAAAGATTACAATCTGAAAGCTTTATATGCGTCCAAATAGTCTCCAAAGGAGTGTCTCCGATCGTCACACTTACAGAATGAAGTCAGACGGCAGGACATTTAGAAGGGGCCAGGACAAGGACGGATCTCCTTACAGCACAGGCAGCCATGGACAGGACCCACTCTGAGGGGAGCCACAAGGAGGACAGCCCTCTAAACAGTCAAGGTGCCCTACTGTGCGCCTGGTAGCTGAAATTCTACCATTAGCTGTTCATTGCTTTGGCTAAACCTTTGCATTTGTTCCCTAAAGGAGCATTGATTTGGCAGAGTCTATGTGGCACGTTAATTGGGGACACAAAAAAGGTAAGACTTTGTGTTTGTCCTCACGGATGAGGGGTGAACTTACATACACAAAGGACAAATGACCAATCAAGGCACCAGCAAGACGCTGCAAGAACATAGAAATCACAGCAAAGTTCTACTCCGTGGGAGTCCTCACGTCCTTAGCATTTGGACTGGCTCTGTCCTCTGAGAGAGACTGGCTACCTCTTAGATGGAGAACATACTAAGCCTTTGTAGTCATCTACTCCATAGTCTGAAAAAGTCTCCCATTTCCCAGGACAACAGTAAGTGAGGGCAGCTTTTGTCTGGGAGAGACACCTTTCCCTGAAAAGCAGTGTTGCAAGAAAGGATTTTAAGGACTTCCTACTGAAGAGGAAAGGAAAATGTTGAAGATGGTGTATTCCTGAGATTTTGTTACTATAGCAAAATACTGAGGCAATTAACTTTGTGAAGAAAGGAGGGTTTATGTCAGCTCAAACGACAGGAGGTTCACGGTACAAGGCCAGGCAGTCCACATAGGTTTGGCCTCTGGTAATGGCAATTTTGCTGGTGGAATTCCAAGGTGGCACACAGCATCGCATGGGGAGAGCGAGTGTGTGTCTACATGGTCTCTTAGGGACCTGCCTCCCCCCAAGTAATCACTCAATCGGATCCAATCACCACAACCAGATTAAGTCCCTTCCCCATTAGTGCCATTATCATCGGACTTTGGGGATCCAACCTTTAACACATGGGTCTCTGGGGGACACTCAACATCCAAACCAGAGCAGGTTGAGTCAATACAGAAATCCAGGATTTGGGGTGGGAGGAGAAATTAAAAGAAAATCTAATCTATCTGAACTTAAGTCTCTAAGGCACCTTCATTCCCACTTATGGTTTGCCCAGCTGAAAAGCAACGTGCTGGGGCCCTGCGTTGTGGCACAGCTGGTGAAGCCAACTCTGGCTTCCCATATGAGCACCAGTTTGAGTCCCAGCTGCTCCACTTCTGATACAGCTCCCTGCTAATGCACCTGGGAAAGCAGCAGAAGATGGCCCAAGTGCTTGGGCCCTCACACCCATATGGGAGACCTGGAAGAAGCTCCTGGCTCCTGGCTTCAGCATGGTCCAGCCCCAGCTATTTTAACCATTTGAAAAGAATGAACCAGCAGGTGGAAGATCTATGTCTCTCTCTATGTGTGTGTGTGTGTGTGTGTGTGTCTTTATAACTCTTTCATACACATTTTTTTAAAAAGTAATCATTTAAAAAATCAAACTGCCTTGGGCAGAAGTGAAATTGGGGCAAGGCAGCCCAGAGACAAAAGAAGGGACACGTGGGCTTCTATTGCATCTCTGGCTGATGACACTGAGCTACCCAAGCGCTGGTTGCAGCAGCTCTGGGGCCCAGCTGAGACCAGGAGGGAGAGCTGGGAGATCAAGTCCCCCCCCCCAATATTACCCGGAATCCCTCAAACATCAGCTATCAGAGAGAGTCAGAATCAAGAGAATCGCTCCGCTCCAGTGCCAGGAAAATACAAAGCAATTAGTGACTTCAGCTTTAGGCAGAGCCTAGAGGGGAAAAGGAATCTTTGGTCTTGGTGAAACTCCATCTTCCTGGGCGCCTTCCAGAGCCACAAGGCTCAGCCCACGCAGCGTTTGGCCACTGCCTTGCTCCGCTCCCACAGACGATTTCTATGCATTTGGAAAACGATCTGGAAACTGTCATCACCACTCTGCCGGTTGGCAGGTGTCCCCCAAAGAGAGAGAGAAGTGTACCACACACTACCAAGCCAGGGGTATGGAGAAGACAGCAGTGGGATTAGCAAACAGGGCGGAAGGAGACGGGAAAGAAGCTGCCTCCCAGACCTGGGGGGGGAGAGGGGTCACTCCTCACTCACACTTAGCCACAGCTGCAAGGATGGGAAACAGCTCTCTTGACCTGTGAGCCCTTCCAGGGAAAGGACAGGAGAGCTCTGTGGAAGAGGCAGAGGAAGAGAGTCACAGAGCGGGCTGCGGAGTCCCGAGGAGGGAGGTGGCACAGGTGGACAGGGGCTGAATTCTGATGGAAACCAGACGAGCAGAGAGTCAGACGGCAGAGCCGAGATCTTGTCTCTTTCAGATGTCCAGGCACAGAAGAAGCCCTCAAAACAATACTCACCAGGCGGGTTTATTTAGAAAAGAGAATGACCAAACGTGAGGCTAAGCGGGAAGGAGATGGCAAGCAAAAGAGTGCAAGGGAAAGGCATGAGACAGAGCGGGCACAGCCACCTCTCCCAGCCCAGCCTGATTCCTGCACCCCCTGTGAACACCTGTGCTTTGCAAGCCCTAGAGGGCACTCTGCTTGATGCTCGTGAACCTGCATATGTTTGATACAATTGGGGGGTCAAAGTAAAGCTCCCTCTGGGGGTCCTGGGAGGAAGGGGGCCCTGGGCCAGGTGTGGGATGAATGGTCGGGGAGACTGTCTGAGCACAGTGCTCCTAGCTTGCCTGCCTCTCCAACCTGGAATAGCCGCCGCTATGCCATGCCACATTCTCTCCTGGCTGCCGAGAAAAACATCTGGACCTGTGAGATGTCACTGCTCCAAGAAAGTGAGTATTGAAGGGACAGAATTCTGTAACCTGTGAGACTGAGTTCTGCAACCTCCCCCTAAATGAAATCACTCACTGCTTATCTGTCTCTGCCTGGCCTGAGGATATTGAGGCATGAGAGACTCCGACAGACAGCCCCTGGATCTGCAGGTGCACCCCAAACGGATGTTGTTTCTGCAGATGGCCCCTGCCTGGGGACTTTGCTGTCAGCCCTTCCCTTACCTTCCAGCCGGCCTGGAAACTGCAGGAGAAAGAGAAGTCAGCTGCCCTTTGCCACAGATGCAAACACATTTCCTCCTAACCTCAGTAACAGGGACACTGAGATTTTCTGGGTCCTAAAGATGGGGGTGGGCAGGGGCGATGCTCTTTCCTAGCCAGTCTGTACTATCCTCCCCCAAGCCAGAAGGGGAACCGAGACACTTAGGAGCCTTTTACATAGCCAGGGCCTTGGGAGAAAGATAGCAGGGAGAAACGAAACAATGAGAAGCAAAGATGTATTTAATTTCTTTATTCAAAAGGCAAAGCCACAGAGGAGTTGGAGGTGGGGAAACTTCTGCTGGTTTACTCCCCAAGTGGCCACAACAGCCAAGAGCCAAGAACTCCACCCTGGTCTCCCGCCTGGGTGACAGGAGCCCATGCACTTGGGCCATCTCCCGATGACTTCCCAAGACAACAGGCTGGATCAGAATCAGAGCAGCCAGGTCTGCAACCAGCATCACCAGCTGAGGCTGAACCTGCTGTGACATGACCAGGACGGCCCCAGAGATGAGCCTCTCCCAGCTTGCCTGTCCGTTCCAACCAACCGGATGGAATCCTTCGCAGCCTGGCTCTAGCAGGCAGCCATGCACACCATGAAATTTATTTAAAACAAAACAGTGACAAGGCAGGAAGCCCAGCGGGCCCCTAGATTCCTTTGTCTCCCTCACCCCCAAAGCCCAAAGGTTGCTTAAGATGGGCCCTGGGTCCACCTACGCCCAGCTCCCATCCCTGGCCTGGTGAAACTCTCAGGAATGCCCACAAGCTGGGGACTGACCTCATGACCTTGGCCTCCCCAGCACTCAGACCAGGACCCACAATGGCCCCAGCTCCTGAGACTGGGCCAGGGGGCCGGCAACCCAGCGGCTTCTACCCTTGGCACCTGGTTCTCCCTCTCCACCTCTCCCACCCCCACCCCCGGTAAGACCAAAGCAGAGCCCAATGGGCTGCAGGTCCACCTTTCCCGAGTGAAGCTACAGGTGGCAGGAACAGGGAGAGGCGCTCTGCCCCGTGGACTTTCCAGGTCCCACGGAGAAGGACTGCAGGGAAGGTGCACAAGACTCTACCGGACCTGGATTCCGACAGCTGCCTTGGGCTTTGCTTCTCAAAGGCACGTCGACCTGTCCCGTGGTTTGCTGGAGCTATTTTCTCCATTAGTAAAGGCTGAAATAACCACGCCCCTAACAGAGCATCTTAGAGGGAAGGGCCCCTCCAGGCCGCTATCGAGCACCCACCCTCCGCCAGCGAAACCACACCAACCTGCCCTGAGCTCTGCTCTGTCCACATCCTTCCCGGGACAGAACGGCCCCAGGCCAAAAGGAGAAAGAGATGTGGGTGCGAATCCGCCCTCTGCAGAGGATCTGGTGTCTGGTGGCCGAAGCCAGTGCCCTGACCTGGCCAGGTCTGCAGCTCCAGCGGCGGTGCCGCTGCGTGGGGCGCTGGTTTTATTTTTATTTTAAAATCATCCAGGAAAAAGCACCTCCAGGTTAAAACAAAAACAAAAACAAAAAACAAAAAAAAAAAAAGGAAAGTGGAGGGAGTTGGGAGTTGGGGAGCCGCGGGGAACCTCGGCCTGGGCGGTCCAGGAGTGCCTAGGGAATGCACTCCGGGCGGCCCCGTACGTCCCCATTCGGGACGGAGATTTTTCGGACAACTGAGAACGAGAGAAAGGGAAGCCTCCCTTTGGGAGCAGGGCCTCCCACCCTCACCTTTCCTTGTCTCCTCCCGGCCTCGGCAGCTCCCCGACCAGCCGGCTAGTCCGGTCGGTCTCTCGCTTTAGCTCTGGACTACACCCCCGGGACGCCCCGCGGGGCGACAGCCACCGGATGCCCTGCGACCCGGCCAGGTCAGGGGAGGGGGGGAAGGGCAGGTGGGCGGTCCGCGCTGCGCACCCGACCTCTCTCGTCGAGCCCACCCCTTTGCCTTGGAAAGCAGCAAAGAGCGGAAAACCGAGACGCCTCTCTTGGCCTTCTGGGTTGGGGGCGCCTGGATTGCACAGCCACCCCAAGTAGGGCGCCCGTCTCGGGAGAAATCAACGTGCAGGAATATTCTCTCATGTCCACGGGCGTTTACGGGACGTGCGGCCAGGAGGTCTGGCGCTGTGGTGGCACCTACACTCGGGCCACACGTCGAAAGGTGACACTGAGTGACATTGGGCTGACCTGCCACTCTCTCCCAGGGAAACTCGCTCCTGGCGTGCCGAGCGAACGATGCGCGCTCCCCGGGCGCAGGCAGAAGTCCTGACGACCCAGGGGCGCAGGGACGCGGAGTCCCACCAGGCGTGGGGGTCTCCGGGGATTGCCTTAACGAGGAACTGGATCTCTCTGATCCAGTCTCAGATATCCTCTGTAGAAAACACTGCCCAAGGCTGACATCTTTGGGGGACTCTGATGTTCGCCCCAAGCAAACTCTTCCTGGAATAGGCTACCACTGTGGAGAACGGGTTGAGACATCGTCTCCACTTTTTATTTTATTTTATATCTATAAATAGAAGAAGAAACTCATGGTCCTTAATCAGCCAGGTAAAGAGAACCATCTCACCGGCCTGCACCCCAGTCCCTCCCCGGCTCTGCGCAGCCCCAGAGCCCGCGAAACTTGGCGCATGCCAAGGGCTCCGCGCCGGTGCCTAGGCGCCCGCGTGGAAGCCGAAGAGGGGTTGGCTGCCTCCGCTGGGGAAACGGAGCCCGGCGCCGGCCCCGGGCGCGGCAAAAGGCTCGGAGAGGGGGGGAAGGGGGGAGCGGGAGCGGATTCCAGGCCTCGGTTTCCCCAGACCGCCCCTTGGGATCCCCTGGCACCTCGGAGTCTTCGCTCTCATGAGACCGACGCGGACCCCCAAAGCGCCCTCCGCCGTGTGCCCCGGCCCCTTGCCCCTCCTCGCCTCCATCCAACGGACGACCCTGGCGCGTCCAAGTCTAGACGCTCTGGCTAACACCGGGCCGGCAGCCTCAGTTTCCTGATCTGTAACCTGGACGCGCAGAGCGGGCTCCTTTCCCTGTGGCTCTGAGCTCCTCAGATCCGGGACTGCCAGCGTCTGCCTCGGTCGGGGCCACCCGGGAATGTCACTTCGAAGCGAATGGAGCTCCTGAATGGATGGGGGTGGTTAGGGCAGTGGGCACCAAGAGGTCTCTGCAGATCAGGACCGAGCCACTAGCGCCCACGCGCCAGACTGGGCCTGCCCCTGGACAGCCAGGCTGTCTTGGCCCCGGGGGTTCCCCATGGATCTCCTCGGGTCTGTGCGCAACAGCGCACCTCGGTTGCGCTTCTACAGCCAGGTCCCGCATAGACGCGCACACACCTCACGAGCTCCCCAGCCTGGGCTGCCCAGAGGTGGATGAGCAGAGGGAGCAACATCGAGGAAGAATCCCCCCCAGAGACGAATCTCAGCAGCAAAGCCCCCCGCGCGCGCGCCCCAGGCCCCGCGCCTAGCCGCCGCCAGCACCGGTTTCCCCGCAGCGTCTCGGAGTTAGAGACCGTTTCTGGGCTTTTGGCGCCCCCTCTGGATGCAGCTGGACATTGCAGCCCGTTTCCAGCTACGTGCCCTAAGTTTTCAAAAAGATACAAGTTGGCTCGCATCAAACCCACAGAAAACGTAGACGGCATGGCAGTTTCTGATTTTAAATGCTACAGATTGCATCCCTGAGCACGGGATTTCCCTAAAGGGGTATTTGTGGATGCGCCTATGTGCCTTAACGGATATTTCTTGAAACAGTCCAAAGCATCTTAAGGTCACTGTTTACCTTCGCTGCCTGGATGCCGATGGACACGGTAACTGCCATAAAAGACCACTCAGTGCGGACGTTCCGGCTCAAGCAGCCGCGCGCGCGGGCCCAGGGCCGCCTCCTAGATCAGGTGCCTGTGAGCCACACGGTGCCACGCACGAATGCCCTCTCCGCAGGGCGCAGACCTCTCGGGGCTCCCTCTGGTCCTCCAAGAGAGGGTGTTTTCCTGCACTTTTGGCAGAGAATCACAGAGCAACGAACAACTCGCAAGCTAAGGCATGGAGGTCTCTTGCGCCGGTAAACAAGCTGTAGGGTCCTGGAGACATGCAACCCCAGTTACGTGCGTTAAAAATGATAATAATAAAAATACTGCTGAACATGGTTGCACCTTACCACCTTCCCTCTAACGTCTTCGAAAGAAAACGAGATTTTTTAGAATTCTGCAGGCAAAACATTCTTTTAAGTCCTTCAATGGTGTCTGCACCTCTCAGATTAGAAGAGAAGGGGGGAAACCCAGATCTGCTGCGAGGCGGGTCGATTCACCATCACAGGCATTTCATCCGAGGCGAACTTTTGCAAGCGCGTCAAGGAGAGATGGGGGTGGGTGAATTTAAAATTAACAGTTTTCCATGGTTGTGTGCATGTATGTGTGATCCTGCAAGCATGAACCCCGCAGGCAACCAAGACTCCCCCACCCCACCCCATCTCAAAACAGATAAGTCTGCACTTAATCCAACCTGCCTGGCTTTAGGCGGTGCGTGTGCACACAGATCACACCTGAAATGCATAAGAGACGCCTCCCCCTCTCCCCAGAACTCCCGGCCGCGCGCGGGTCTGCAAGGGACCAGCTAAGGTCACAGCCGCCGGCGCTTCGCCGCTCCAGGTGCTCCGCAGAGACGGGCGAGAGCGGGCAGTCGGGCCGGGGAAGAGTGGTCCGCGCGGGGCCCAACTGTGTGGCCTTTTACAAAGCCAGCCCGTGACCGACGCTCTCCCAAAAGTCGGTCTCCGAAAGCCAGCGCGGTTGGCAAAGTTTGCGGGAGCAGCTGCAGCCGCCGCCGCCTCTGACTCGGCCGCGCCGGTGAGGAGCGCAGCGTCAACACAGTCGCCCAAAGGCTCAGAAGCTTAGGCGGGGAGAGGGGCCAGGGGTCCCTGGGAGGACTTGTAGGAGTTCAAGGTCGGGGGTGGCTCGGAGAGGCCGCGGCAGCGCGAGGCTACAGCGTCCCGGCCGCCGCCGCCGCCGCCGCCTCCCGCCCTGGCGGGGACGTAGCTTCGGTTTCCATTGATTCCCCGTGCAGGGGCGCAGCAGAATCCCCCCCAGCCGCGCGGGCCCCGGCGAAGCGGAGCATGTTAATCTCTTTATATGGATTATTACCGAGGAACAGCGGGCGTTGAGTCACCAAAACATTTGCTTCCCAAGACCATTTCTAAGCACTTTTGGAGGCGGGCAGGCAGGCTCCAGGCGCGCAAACCCGGCTGCGCAGGAAGGAGCGACTGCTTTTCGAACACTGCGAACTCCGGTGAAGTCCTCCGGACCGCAGAGAGAACAAGGGGAAGGGAGTTATCAGGGGTGAGCGGGCCGTGGCTCCTAGTCTAGACACACGCGCGCGCACAGGCACACACGCGCAAACTACCCGCGCGGAGAAAGGCCCCCGACATGCTGACATTCCGAGAGTGCGGCAAACTTACACACTTGGACGTCCCGGGTCCCCCGCCTTCCCCGCGGCACCCCCACCACCACCCCCCACCACCACCATCCACCCTTGGGCTGCGCTCCCTTCCCCTCCCCTCCCGTCTCGTCACCCAGCCCAGTACCACCATCCTTCTCCTCCCCTATACCCCGGCCCAATCAGCTGCCTGCCAACCCCGAGACTGCCGCGCTGTGATTGGCCGGGCGTCCCTAAGGTGAGTGGGTGTATTTATTAAAGCGACCCCGGGCTGGGAGTTGGAGAGCAGAGAGCGGAGCTCGAAACCGACTGGCAACTTCGGCGGCGCAGCGACTTGCCAAGTTCACCCCGGGAGCTTTTTCTTTGTAGGAGGAGAAGAGAAGGGGTGCAAGCGCCCCCGCTTTTGCGCTCTCTTCCTCTCCTCCTCCTCCCCTCCAGCTCGCCTCACTTCCCCCGCCCCGACTTTGGAGCGGGCAGCCGCGGACTGGTCACCCCGCGCCTCCCCCGGTGCTCGCCGCCGCAGCCGGGAGACGCGCCAGCCTCCCCGGGAGCCGCTCGCTCCGCGTCCGGGCAGCCGAAGGGAGAGGAGCCCGCGCCTCGAGTCCCCGAGCCGCCGCGGCTTCTCGCCTTTCCCGGCCACCCGCCCCCTGCCCCGGGCCCGCGTATGAATCTCCTGGACCCCTTCATGAAGATGACCGACGAGCAGGAGAAGGGCCTGTCCGGCGCCCCCAGCCCCACCATGTCCGAGGACTCGGCGGGCTCGCCCTGCCCGTCGGGCTCCGGCTCCGACACCGAGAATACACGGCCCCAGGAGAACACGTTCCCCAAGGGCGAGCCGGACCTCAAGAAGGAGAGCGAAGAGGACAAGTTCCCCGTGTGCATCCGCGAGGCGGTCAGCCAGGTGCTCAAGGGCTACGACTGGACGCTGGTGCCCATGCCCGTGCGCGTCAACGGCTCCAGCAAGAACAAGCCCCACGTCAAGCGGCCCATGAACGCCTTCATGGTGTGGGCGCAGGCGGCGCGCAGGAAGCTGGCCGACCAGTACCCGCACCTGCACAACGCCGAGCTCAGCAAGACCCTCGGGAAGCTCTGGAGGTAGGGCCCGGCGGGGGGCGGCGCGGGGTCGGGGGTGGGGGGCGCTGGCCGAGGCCACCTCTGCTCGCCCCGCCTTCCAGCGGTCCGGGAGTTGCGGTGCGGGGAGCGGCCGAGGCGGAGGAGGCGGGCGCAGGGAGGAGGGATTGGTGTGCGGCGGGCGAGGAGAAACTTTGGCTCGGAGTCCGACCAACTTCTTGGAGTGCCCTCGGGGGCGGCGCGGGGAGGGGGTGGCCAGTGGAAGAGGTGGGGGGGGGAGATAGCCGGAGGGCGGGAGCGGCCTGCTAGGAGACCCCAGGGCGGCGCGGGGGAGTTTCGTGCCCTCGGGCACCCCACATCCACGGAGTTGGGGTTGTAGGGGGGAGGGGGTGCAGGAGAAGACCCCTGGCAGGGACGGGGAAGGCAGGGGGTGGAGGCTACTGGACACAGATGAGGCCTCGGGGAGGCCTTTTGGAAAGTTTGCAAAGGGTGTTGGGACGCGCAGGGGGCTATATGCAGTAGCAAAGGCGTTTAGAGCCACTGCAGTGGGGCTGCCGTTTTCGTCTCCAGGGTTTCCAAACTAGGGGAAGGGGAGGGGGCGGGGCGGGGAGTGACCGCCACTCGGGTCGCACTACCCGAACTGAGCCTTTTTTTTTTTTTAAGTAAAGTTATGAGCGGAGGCTGGGACGAGGAAGATGGGGGCTTGCGCGCGGGGAGCCCAGCGCTCGGAGTCACCCCCTGGGCCCCGCCAGCCTGACAGCTTGGCGGCGGGCTTCACTGACCCCTCCCCTCTTTCTCTCTGCGCCCCCCTCCCCACCCGGCCCCCACAGACTGCTGAACGAGAGCGAGAAGCGGCCCTTCGTGGAGGAGGCGGAGCGGCTGCGTGTGCAGCACAAGAAAGACCACCCGGACTACAAGTACCAGCCGCGGCGGAGGAAGTCGGTGAAGAATGGGCAGGCGGAGGCCGAGGAGGCCACGGAGCAGACGCACATCTCGCCCAACGCCATCTTCAAGGCGCTGCAGGCCGACTCGCCGCACTCCTCGTCCGGCATGAGCGAGGTCCATTCCCCCGGCGAGCACTCGGGTGAGCGCGCCTGGGCCCCACCTGGCTCAGCTCCAGGCTCTCGCCGGGGAGCCTCTGCCTGGGCACTGGGGAAGGCGCCACCGCCCCGGGCGCGCAGTCTCGCCCCTCTCCTCGCCCAGGGCCCCCCCCCAAACCCCCTGCGGGCGCGCGCGCGTGTGTGCACGCACACCGCCAACTCAGACTTCTAAGTTTTTATTGCTAGGTGAAATGCCTTTACAGCTTTTAGGAGATCTATGATGCCTCCTTCTGTCTGACCCCCGCCCCCAAAAGCACACACAAGGCTCTCCTACAAGTAGCAATTTGGTCTACTTCCGGACCCTGGTGGGCGTAGGGGGCGGGGACCCTCCCCTGATGGAAGGAGGTTGCGGGTGTGCAGCGGCGCGTCCATCAACTGGCCAAGAGGGAGCGCATCGGGGTGGGGGGTGGGGTCCCAAGACCGGGACCTTGTCTCAGCCTTGCTTGATTTTTCCGGTGCTTTTTTTCTCTCTCGGTGTGCGCAGGACAATCCCAGGGTCCGCCGACCCCACCCACCACTCCCAAGACCGACGTGCAGCCGGGCAAGGCTGACCTGAAGCGAGAGGGGCGCCCCCTGCCCGAGGGGGGCCGGCAGCCCCCCATCGACTTCCGCGACGTGGACATCGGCGAGCTGAGCAGCGACGTCATCTCCAACATCGAGACCTTCGACGTCAACGAGTTCGACCAGTACCTGCCGCCCAATGGCCACCCGGGGGTGCCGGCCACGCACGGCCAGGTCACCTACACCGGCAGCTACGGCATCAGCAGCGCCGCCGCGACCCCCGCGGGCGCGGGCCACGTGTGGATGTCCAAGCAGCAGGCGCCCCCGCCGCCGCCGCCCCCGCAGCAGCAGCCGCCCCCGCAGGCGCCCCCGCAGGCCCCGCAGGCGCCCCCGCAGCCGCAGCAGGCGCCCCCGCAGCCGCAGCCGGCGCCCCCGCAGCCGCAGCAGGCGCACACCCTGACCACGCTGAGCAGCGAGCCGGGCCAGGCGCAGCGAACGCACATCAAGACGGAGCAGCTGAGCCCCAGCCACTACAGCGAGCCGCAGCACTCGCCGCAGCAGATCGCCTACAGCCCCTTCAACCTCCCGCACTACAGCCCCTCGTACCCGCCCATCACGCGCTCGCAGTTCGACTACGCGGAGCACCAGAACTCGGGGTCCTACTACAGCCACGCGGCCAGCCAGGGCTCCAGCCTCTACTCCACCTTCACCTACATGAGCCCCGCCCAGCGCCCCATGTACACCCCCATCGCCGACACCTCCGGGGTGCCTTCCATCCCGCAGACCCACAGCCCGCAGCACTGGGAGCAGCCGGTGTACACACAGCTCACCAGACCTTGAGACGGCCTTGTGCGTTGGGCGCCGTGGGCCCAGAAGAGCCTCAAAGTGACCGAAGAAACAGCCAGCCAGCCAGCCAGCATTTCCTTTGGACCGCTTGTTCCCCACCCTCCCCACCTCTCTTACCTCTCTCATTCTCTCATTCCTTAAAGACATTGAAGCTGAAGGCAACTGGTACCCAACTTCCAAGACAGAAACCCTTGTAAGCTGTCCAGTGGCCAGGCCACCCCGGGGCTGGGTGGACCAGCGAGCGGAGTGGAAGAGAGACTGGATTCGCGCAGCCGCCTTCCGAGCAAGCGAGCAAGAAGCGTGGTGGAGAAACGCGTGACCCCTTTGCTCAATCTCTCTGCCTGTTTTTTTTTTTTTTTTTGACTTTGTAATTATTTTTTAGCAGTGATTAAAGAAAAAAAAGTCCTCTGTGAGGAATATTCTCTATTTTAAATATTTTTAGTATGTACTGTGTATGATTCATTACCGTTTTGAGGGGATTTATACATATTTTTAGATAAAAACAAATTAAATGCTCTTATTTTTCCAACAGCTAAACTACTCGTAGTTGAACAGTGTGCCCTAGCTTTTCTCGCAGAGTATTTTTGTACAGATTTGCTTTCTCTTACAAAAAGGAAAAGAAAAAAAAAAGCCTGTCGTCCTATTAACCTACAAAGAGAAAAGTGATAGTTTGTGTGGTGGGATCCATTTGGCAGGGGGGTGGGGTGATGAGCTTTGCTGAATTCCTCAGGCTTTCCGGTACAAGGAGGAGCTGCCTTAAAAAGATGAATAAAGGCCTTATTTTGCAACTAGGAGAGAGTAGGCAATAGTGTAGAGGACGCATTTGGTAAGCTTTATCCTATATATATTATATATATTTTTTAAACAAGAGAAAGTTACCTTGAGCCTTAAACACCGAGCTGCTGCAGAATGCTTGCGCTCTCGCAGTGCGATTCCTCCTGCCTTTGGTGGTTTGCTGCGGTCTTAAGAAAGGAGCAAAAAGGCAGGCGACGGCGACAGATCCTGTTTTGGGGGAGTGTTTTAGCAGCCAGTGTGTGCCCCCTGTGCCCAGGCCCCAGGTGGCATCCAGATGGAGTGTGCCAGACTGTTGTCACCTGTCCCTCTCTGAACGCCAGCAGTTAACCAACACATTCCACATGCTAAAATTATTTATTTTGTAAGGAGAGGTTTTAATTAAAAAAAAAAAAACTTCCTTTTTTTTTAAATTTACTTTCTTTAAAATAGGTTGTTGGAACCTTCTTCAGAGGGTATGGTCAACCATTGTTAAGTTATGTTCTTAACTGTAACCAGTTTTTTTTTATTTATCTCTTTAATCTTTTTTTATTATTAAAAGCAAGTTTCTTTGGATTCCTTGTCCTTGATCTGTACAAATGCCTTTCGTCCGTCCTATTTTTTTTTCTTTGTTGTTTTTGTTGAAAACAAACTGGAAACGTGTTTCTCTTTTTTTGTACAAATGAGAGATTGCAAATGTAGTGTATCACTGAGTCATTTGCAGTGTTTTCTGCCACAGATCTGTGGGCTGCCTCAATTGTGCGCGTGTTGTGACACACAACAATGCAGGTGTCACCCACATTCCCGCGTGTTCTCTCCCAGAGAGGGGCGGATTCAGGGGGAATCGGCCCCTGACAACCCTGATTCCTAATGACTGCTGAGGCTAGAGTGTTTGAGGATTGCTTTTTAAAAAAGACAGCAAACTTTTTTTTTATTTAAAAAAAGATATATTAACAGTTTTAGAAGTCAGTAGAATAAAATCTTAAAAGCACTCTTATAATATGGCATCTTTCAATTTCTGTATAAAAGCAGATCTTTTTTTAAAAAAATATTTCTGTAACTTAAGAAACCTGGCATTTAAATCATATTTTGTCTTTAGGTAAGGTTCGCTTTGTGTTTGTGTTTCGTTTTGCTTATTTCTCCTCCAAACCTTTTGCTCTGTCTGTGAAACTTACTTTTCCTTTCTTCTTTTTCTTTTGTATATTATTGTTTACAATAAATATACATTGCATTAAAAAGAAAAACGGCCCTGTGCATTTTTACGCCGCCTCCCCTGGTCCCAAGGATGATGTGACGAACTGGACACAGAGATTATTCTGTGCTCATGGCTGTGACACTTTCGTTCTCTCGTGTGCTCCTTTTTAAGTGTCAGTCCTCAAACTGACACCGAAGAAAAGACCCTGTGTGCACCCCCCTCCCCCCCAGAATCTTACCTGGAGAAACCCTGAAAAGTGCCATTCCCATAGATGGCAGGGAGCGTCACCACTCTGGTTTGAACAACCTCATGCTTCAGGGCAAAGTCTGTTCCCTTGTGGAGGTCAGTGGGAATACGGGACCAGAAATCAGCCTCTGGTCCCCCAGGGGATAGGGCAGACTCAGGAAAAGAACAGCGAAGTCCATGCAAATGGAAGAGGAAGCCTGAGTCCATCCCTGCTCAGGGGACCCCAGAGAGGCCTGGCCCACTAGCCCATTCACTGAGCTCTCTGCAGAGACGGGGCAAGGAGATCCCCTTACTGAGCTGTTCCCTGCAGATTAACTCCTTCTGAGCAGAAGCAAACCCATCGGCAGGAGGACGGCAGGAGGACGGGGAGCCTAATCCTGTTTTCCTTGGGCTCGGTGAGACCGGGAGTTTCCAGGTTGAGAGACACATTCAGGTCATTTTTCACTAAACAGATGAAATCACTCCTTCCCTCCCACAGCCCCCCGCACCCCCGCCCCCACCCCGGGCACTGGGGAAGTGACTCTGAGGAAACCACCTCAGGCTGTGTGTGTGTGTGTGTGTGTGTGTGTGTGTGACAGCCCTCTGCTCTGGCCTCACATTGTCTGTTGCTGCTTACTGGATTTCTGGCTTGAATCCCACGCCAGGGTCACGGCAACCAGGAAAATGGTAGTTAGCGCATGGAGGCAACAGGAGTGCTCGCCTCCTTGGCAAATGCCTCAAGCAAACCCTGACTGAAGGGCTGTGATCTGTGAGGGACTGCAAATCACTCCCAGGCAGCGGGTTCTGCTCCGTGTGTGTCTGTGCGTGTGTGCACGCATGCGCCACAGCATCCCATCCGTTCCTTTGCACCCATATCTCTCCTGTTTTTTGTTTTATTTTTTTTTCTCTTGCCAGCACTCACAATCCTTTTTCCCAAGTCTCTGTGGCGGTCACTGATGCTTCCCTACCATATTCGTCCCAGTCCCTTTGTTAAAATTCACACGTATCATCTCCACGTGACCACCCCCCACCCTTCTCTCCCAAATCTACAACCGTGTGCTTACCTGTTCTCCCTTGTAGAAATAAGCTCTTTTCCTAAGTATGTGGCCCCTGGCCCCCTTAGAGCACGCGTGTACTACTGGTTGGACATAAGCGTGTTAGGCGACCTAACACACGTTGCTTTGCTCCTGTGCCTCCGTTTACCCCCTTTGGCTGGAAATAGTTACAGCTCCTCCTGGATGGAGCAGGGATGTCGTCAGCCAGGGGTTTAGCTAGGAGGGGTCTGAGAATTCGCTCCATCAGGTCCCTACAGCAGTCCTCCTGGGTTAGAATCTCGGGGAGCCACACCCAGGAAAAAGGGTTTTCATGAGCTCACAAGACGCCCTGGAGTGCAGTGAGAGAATTCCTTGGAATCCCACTCACCACCCCTCATCCACCGGATCTAGTCAAAACCCAGTATCACCAGATTATGAAATATTTTAGAGGAATTTCTACTCTAAATCCAAAACACACAGCTTATCCCCCGGGCAACAGCAACACAGGGACGTGGAGTCTAGGAAAGAGTCCCACGTGTACCTCGATTAGCCCCAAGGTCATTTGTTTACTTGCTTTTAAAGTAAAGCGGATTTTTGCTTTTTTTGTTGTTTGTTTTTAGCAACAAGAGAATTTTATAAGCAAAAGGGAATAAGGACAGATTCATTCAGAATCAAGCTTTTGGTCTGTTATTAAAATGGAATCGGGGCTGGCACTGTGGCATGGCAGGTAAGGTTACCGCTTGCAGTGCCAGCATTCCATATGGGTGCCGGTTCGAGTACCTGCTGTTCCACTTCCGATCCAGCTCTCTGCTATGGCCTGGGAAAGCAGTAGAGGATGGCGCAAGTCCTTGGGCCCCTGCTCCCACGTGGGAGACCTGGAAGAGGCTTCTGGCTCCCAGCTTTGGATCAGTGCAGCTCCAGCCGTTGAGGCTAGTTGGGGAGTGAACCAGTGGATGGAAGACCTCTCTCTCTCTCTGCCTCTCCTTCTCTCTCTGTATAACCCTGACTTTCAAATAAATAAATAAATCTTCAAAAAAAAAAAACCAGAATCATGTGGAGTCCTATGAGTGGTTTAACTTTCCCACTTGCTCCATCCCATCCCATTCCTCCCCTTTCCTTGATTTTGAGACACCACTGTGATACTTTACATATTAAATTAGTTGATGACCAGTCACTTAGCCAGAGATGGACTTAAAGCAAACTAAGCCTAAGATCTAACACTCCTTAAAAGCACCAGCTCATATTTTAAAATCTCACATTTTAAAGTTTTATATTATTTTTCTTAAAGAGCCCCCATTTCAAAAAGGAACCATGTATGCTTAGAGTCCCACAAAAGTGGGTCTCTCTGCCCCTGACTGCTGCTGCTGGCCAGCAAACCACAGCATCAGAAGCTGTACACAAGATGCTTTTCTATCTGTTCTCAATAGAGTCTGGCATCCAGTAGATGCTCATTTAACACCAGTCTGACAGTACGTCCAGGAACCCACTGGCATTGCCACAGAACAGATCACTAAAGTGTCTCTATCATAACATTCTACCTCTTATCCTTACTCAAGTTCCTTATAGTCCTGAGACTCAAATGACTTTCATTTCTCAAGTGACGTTATCTGGTAGACATAGGAGGGGTTAAATTAAGTAAAGCACACAAGAAATGCCGATTGCTTGTTCTCTGTGCTCATGACTTCACTTCCCTCTTCCTACTCCTTTTTTTCCCCGGGCCTCAGCTCCACCCTGCTGCATTTTCTTAGGGCTTCCTGAGTCTTGTAGCTACTCTTGGGCCATGATTGGGCTACTCCTCTTCCCTCACTCATAGAACAGAACGCTTTGACATTGCATTCCTGAGCCCCATGCAAGGCAATCAGACCACCTCAATGTGTGCTTGTTTTACATAACCAGACCAAGTTTGTGGCGATAGCTA